CTGTGGCGGGGGATTTCTCACTATTTCTCTCACTGTCTCTGTCTATCTCTCACCCTCTCTGGGGAGCAAATACCCCCAAGCAAAAAAAAAAAAAAAAAAAAAAAAAGTATAGTTGGTGGTACTTGCTATATGTAAAAGTTGGCTGAAAGTTTTATGGTAATTCTTTTATGTTTTGTGTCAATTTTACCCATCCCTTCTCTTCCTTTGGGAGGAACTTGATTTTAGATTTTCTCAAGATTCCTACTATACAAGGTGAAGCTAGACTTTGTTTATTTTAGATTATCCTTTGGTGTAGAACCATTGCTTTAGCTCCTCCTTCTATACCATTGAATTTTATTGCATTGTGGACACTGGTAGGCATAAATAACATAATTATTTCATTATGTAGTAACTCCAGTATTGCTTTATTTTCTTTTTTCTTGAAAACATTACTTTTAAAATCTTAGTAAAAGCATATGAATTCTAAATTATCAATATAGTTTTTAAACTATTTTTTAAACCAAATAGTTTAAAATAAAATATTTGATATTAAATAGCTATTATCACTTGATTATCTTTTAAACTAGAGCAAAAACTCAAAGAAGAAATGAAAGTTATCATTCACTTATTCTTTCTAGGAGTTTCTTTGAGTTGCTGCTGTTCTTTGGAAGAGATGAGTTTTATGAAGAGCCTTTAAAGGATATTCTTGGATCATTCCAGGTAAAACACTTTACTACTTGACATTCTGTCTACATTTTAAACAAGCCTTTATTTCCCCCCTAAAAATAGTTCATTGGTTATTTATTGCTTAGAAGTTTTTATGGTTGCTAAAATGACAATATTTAAAATCCTACAATTTGGCAGATAAAGAAAATTCTTATAATTAATTTTTAACTGTATTCCCAAGCTGTTCAAAGCCAGGATTCTAATTCCACATTTGCTAGACCAGAATCTGCTGCCACCACCCTTGTAAATTCCTAAGCTCATCTTTGGGATATACTCACCATTTAATGCCATTAATACAATGAAGAATTTGGGCCAGGTGAAAAGGATTCATTTTTGCCTAGCCTAGAAACATGTTGTCTGTTTTATGCAATTTTTTTGTTGACTGTACCCTGATTTTCTGATCTTTTAATAATAGCCTTCCCAAGCTAATAGGAAGAGGTTTTTGTTTTATTTCTTTTTTTGTTTTGTTTTTCTTTTTCTCTCTCTTTTTTTTTTATCTGATAGAAGAGCGAGTAAATCTAGATGAGGATCACAAAAGAGTCAAGATTTCCTCCCACAGATCTGTAGGTAAAAGAACATTTGATGTTTTTACCTTTTACTTGGGATGCAACACCTAGTTCTCTGGCTCACTTAAGCATCATTGACATCTCTTCAACACTTTTCTGAGGTGAAGTAAGGGAAGGTATATTTTGAGCCCGCCCTAGGGGTAAAGTGTCTAGATAGCATATCTTATATTTATTACTGTGGTGTTAAAGGTTTACTTTTAGCAAGAGTATTGCTCTACTAAGTATGCTATATCAAACATTTTACTTTATCCATTTGACCCAAAGAAAGAAGTGAAAATATGTATACTCATGGACTTTACTTTCTTTTTTTGGAGAGGTTTTTGCTATAGGGCACGTGCACTCGCCAGAAAGACGGAGAGAGACAGAGACACAGACAGAAAGTGAGAAATCACCCCCCAGGGAAGATGGCCACACCACAATCCCTTCTCCTCCATTCTCCTCTTGGGATCTTGGGCACTCATGCACACGCATGTGGCATGAGTTTAAGCCACCATGTCTGGGACTCGAACCACTGTCTACATGGGAGTCCAGTGACGTAGCCATTATGCTAACTGCTGGTTCCTGGACCTTACTTTCTAATTAGAAGATATATTAATGTACTTTTAAAATTTATTAATGCTCCAATCTATTTTCTTTTGACACTTGTGTTCTTGGCAATTCTTTTTTTTTTTTTTTTTCAGAGATATTTTTGCTAGAAGGTGTGTGTGTGCTCGCCGGAGAGACAGACAGAAAGCGAAAAATCACCCCAGGGGGATGGGCAAGCTGCAATCCATTCTCCTTCATTCTCCTCTCGGAATCTTGGGCACACATGCAAAGGTACCCAGCCTGAGGTTTAAGCCACCAGGTCTGGGACTCAAACCACTGTTGACTATATGGGAGTCCAGTGCTGTAACCATTACGCCATTTGCTAGTCCTGGCAATTCATTCTTGAACTTTTATTCCGTAGATATTTATTGAATTCCCACAACATGCTAGTCATTAAGTTCTGGAAAACCAGTAGTAAACAAAAAGAAAAAACCCTGCTGTTGTGGAGCTTAGTTCTAATGTAGTTTATTCATTGATCAGAATAATCAGTTCCTCAAGGGAGAGTTATGACTTTTTTGCTTTTTTTCTATCTCCTAATTCTTTGGACATCTCTCATCCTGGTTGAATCCTACACTTTATCCTATAATTTCTCCTTTTCTTTCTTTTTATTTAAATGTCTGCCATTTCTGCCACTTTTTTCAGATTTCACCTTTGGATAATCCTCATTTTCTGAACTAATCTACTGCTGTTGTTTATTTCCCAGGTCTGTGCCATTGGGGACCTAGGAAGGGCCAATATGTAGTCCCTCATGGACATGTCCCTAAAACCTCATATTTATTAAGCTTGTGAATTCTCCAAGCTTTTAGCTGATCTTTGACAATCGAGTGACAATCCTAGTGTCACCTATTAAAATATATGTATTTTTAGAATTATTTATTTAATATTTTTTATTATTATTTTTAACTTGACCAGAGGGAGAGAAAGGGAAAGTGAGAAAGCAGGGCACCAGGTCCAAGACTTAAACTGCAGTCAACCATATGGTAGTCCAGCACCCCAATGACCATGTCACCTGCTAGCCCCTAAAATATTTTATATATTCCACTAGTACAAGCCCTATTTCCCCAAGTGTTTCATCTCTATCCACTTAAAATATATATATATAGATAGATAGATAGATATAGATATAGATATAGATATAGATATTTTGAAGTATCTTATTTATTTGGGAGAAAAATTTTCCATTATAGTGTGCAGACACTTGCTGGAGAGACAGACAGAGAGAAAGCAGGAAATCACCCCCAGGGCGGTGGGAGGGAGGGATGGCCACACTGCAGTCCCTCATCCATTCTCCTCTTTGGGTTTTGGGCACATAGGCACACATGCCTGGTGTTTTAAGTTGCCAGGTCCAGGACTCGAACTGTGGTCGACTGCATGGGTGTCCTGTGATGTAACCATTATGTCATCTGCTGGTCCCACTATTTTATTTATTTATTGTGATTTTTAAGCCGCTGGGTCCAGGTCTTGAACCATGGTTGGCCATGTGGGAATCCAGCACCGCAACCACCATGCCACCTGCTGGCCCTCATCTCTATCCACTTTTTATACAGATTCATACCAGCTAAAGATAGTGTTATCTCTCTTCTACCAAAGTAGAACAAACACAGTGCTTTTCAGTTTTAACGTACATAAATATCACTTGAAAATCTTGTTAGAATTAAGATTATGATTCAGTAGTTATGGGGTGGAACCTGTTAGTCTGTTTTTAACATGGTGATACTGATGGTGGTAGTTTTTGGACCACATCTTGAATACAAGGAACTAATATTCTTTGTTACATTTCTGTTAACTTCCTTTTGTTTTGTTCACTCATAATTCAACTAGTATCCCAGCTTTGCTGCTCACTATATGTTACCTTGGGCAAGTTACATAATTTCTGTATAAATTTCCCATTTGTAAAATAGGGACAATAATTGTACTTTCTGCAGAGTCATTTTATGGATTAAATCAGTAAATTACTTGGCTTCCATCCTGGCAAAATAATCATGTCACTGTTATTAAGATAGAGTGTGTAGCATGCCTTGTGAAGGGTTATGTGTTACGAGGTCACACTAGCTGGATTTCTATTTTAACAATAATAACAAAAAGTATCTTTAAGCTTATTCTATTGTCCCATGAATTTCTGAGCTCCTAAAATCTGAGTTGTTCAGGTAAAAACTACTGACTCTAATTTTTTTTTCATTATTCCTAGAGGAAACTTTATTCTGAGTACCATATTTTTCATTATTCTGAGAGCCATATTTTCCATTTTCATTGCAAACGTTTTCTTTCTTAGCCTTTAACTTCCACTAATTTTTCTTTACCTAAATATGAAAAGATGATACACTTTTATAAGACGTACCTTCCTTTTTCTTCTTCTTTCTTCTTTTTCTTCTTCTTCTTCTTCCACTTCTCCTTCCTTCCTTCTTTTCTTTTCTTTTCTTTTCTTTTCTTTTCTTTTCTTTTCTTTTCTTTTCTTTTTTCTTTCTTTCTTTCTTTCTTTCTTTCTTTCTTTTTTCTTCTTCTTCTTCTTCTTCATCTAAAAGTCTTCTGGATTCCCTTGGGGCCAACAGGTGTCATAGTGGTCAGAGCTAGACTCCTACATGGCCAACTGTGGTCCAAGTCCTGGTCCTGGCAGCTTGAAACTCAGACTGGGCACATGTGCATGTGTGCTCAAAATCATGAGAGAACAGAGGAGAAGGGACTGCAGCATGGCCAAACCCTGGGGTGAGGGGTGGGAATGATTTCTCGCTTTTTCTCTTTCTCTCCGGCAAGCACACGGGCACTATGGCAAAAATCTCCAAAGGGGGAAAAACTGTTTTGATTTCCAGGAAATGACAAAAATAATGTAAAGTTAGAAGAAATTCATTACAATACTGGAAACTAGGATGGGGGCATCATACTATTTGGAATAAGACAAGATTGAGAGATGGTCCAGACAATACTTAATTGACCTGATTAACTAAATGTGATAAAATAAGGAGCTACATGAGAAAGAGACAGAGATAAGGAGAGAAAGAGAAACCTTTCAGTGATATTCAGTAATGCTCTCCCTCTCCCCTACAACCAACGTGTGAAAAACAGACTTGGTATGGGGTCAATCTCATTTTTGTTGGTGCTTCTGTAAAGTGCACCAAGCATGTAAGAGAGCCTCCAAAACAGTAATCCTGATGTGACTGTTAAACCTACATTAAAAATGATATGTATGGATGAGAGTATCCTCTCCATTGAGAGAATGGGGGTATGACCCAAACTAAGTGCAGCCTGCCTCCACCAAGAGGTTAAAAAAAGTCTTATAGAAAGCTATGGTTGTCTCCCTCTTTACTCCCTCACTGGCCATTGATTGAACAAATTCAACTATAATATACTTGCTTTGTTTGGACTTTAAAGATTCAGTAAGGACCTATTTGCCCACTAGTAAAACAGCTCTCTATTCTATGTAGTCTGGGAAGAGATGACCAAAGAGAATAAATACCATTTATCATCAGTTCTATGGAAAAGTAAAACAGTTTTTAAAAAATAGATCTTTTATATTCTTGCTGAATATTCCAATCAATGAATATTCTTTGAATATTCCATTGAAGATACCATTCATTGAATGGTATCTTTTATGAAATCAGTGAAATTGTACAGAAAGGTACAGTGGTACAAAAGGTACCCTGCAAAGCATATAAAAGTAAAATACTGTATGAAGATGAAACTACTAAATTAAAAATACAGTGAAGGAAATGAACAACATATTAACTCAAGCAAAAGCCAAATCAGTGAAGAAAACAACCTCAAATTTTCAACTCATATTTACATACAGGCATAGCTTGTTACAATTTTCTTTTTAAAAAATTATTATTAATTTTTAATATATTTTAG